AGCAACTGCAGTGAAAGATCAGTTGCCCTGACAGACATTATTCTCCACAGTGTTCCTGTGTTTATAGCACATACTAGAAATGAAGATGTATGTAGACAGTGCATTTGACTAATGAAACGGTTGGAAGATAAATCTTTTTTAGGTATAAGGGTGCACATGGACATCTAGTGGCGGTGATCACAGAGATGGGTCACGAAGGAAGGGTACTAGAAACTGGAGTGAAAGGACAAAAAGAAATTGCCTCCTCCTTCCCCCTTCTTTCTGACAGCTTCTTGCAGTAGAAATCAGGGCATATATATAGAAGAGTGGTAGAAAAACATGCCTACCTATCAGTGACCCCTTTAATGCTTTTCCTTATCACAAGTCCTTTACTTCATTTTCTGTCTTGTTTCTGCAGGTCAAGCTCTTCCTAATTTAATTTTTAACACTTCCCATTTTCTCTTTCTCTCTTGCTATTATTTCTGGGGTTTTTTTGTATTATTAACCTGTCTTTATTTCTTTCCCTCTTATCCATTTAACCCCACTTCTTTCCTCATCTTTTTCCATTTCATCTGCCACTCTCTATTCATTCAGTCTTTTACTCCCTTCCCTTGTACTCTTTCATTCACTTCTTTTCCTGCATACACATTTTCATTCATTTTCTCTCATCATGCTAAGTGAACTGCCACTCACCTTCCTCAGCTGCTGTGTATACACTTGTATGTTTAGAAGCTAAGAGTCTTCAGAAGAGATGTGGGTAAAAAGGAAGAAGTAGTAGTAAATGTTTGAGGGATTCAGATGCACAAAAGCATCTTAGAATTATGTAACAGATAATGACTGAAATACCTATGGTGTTTTTTGTCATGTGCTTTGTAATACTGAATTCTATTCACACCTGCTAGATTTTTTTGTGTCCAGAATATTTTGGTGTGTAGTCAGACACCTTAAAATGAAATGACATATTTTCCTGAGACTTTTATTTTAAAACTGCAGTATATTTCAGTGCAGTACTTTATTTAGGAAAAAAAATGTTTTATTTACAATGGGGAGTTTTGGATGTTGTGACTGTTAAGATCTAAAACTCATTTTGAATATAATAAAAGCATGCACAGGGAAAATTATTGTGCTTTGTACAGCATTATCCATTGTACCAAGTCACTTTAGAAGTAAAAGATTCTGGTAATAATTAAAATACAATTCTGGTCTGAAAAGTGACTCCAAAATTGTCTTATTTTTTGCTTTTTCAGTACTGATTTCCAAAGCCAACATGCCAAAATGTCCCTTTAATCTTAGTAAGCAACCATTGAACCTTCTGGATCATGGTGTATGAATGAGAGGTCACCCAGATGTTTGACACACATGCCTAGGCAGAAGTAAGGTGGAATGGAAGCTGGCCAGACCTTTAATCAGCCCTTATACCATTGAGACAGAATCTGAAGGCCAGACTGAGTCTGCATGTCTGGGAATGGAACCTAGGTTACCCACGCTGCAGACAAAGATTTTACCACTGACCCATAACAGTGGGGTCCTATAAATACATTGCTAAAGAAGGTAGAGATCTTTCTAGCAGCAAACTTTACAGATTTCCATGTTTGATCTGAAACTCAAGCTGAATTTTTTTGCTACTGCATATCCAGTGATAAAGGTTTAACTGGGCAAATGTTGTTTCCCATTATACTGTTATAATAGGGTATACATTTATTCTTTCTAAACAATCAACAGAATCATTTATACATTATCCATGCCCTCATTAGCACATCTATGATTTCATTTTCCCTGAATTAGGGGGGAAAAAGTAAGCATTAATTAACTCACCCTCTCCCCTTCCCTCCCTGCAAAAAAACACCAAAACACCTTTGGATTACATAGCCCTGGCGGAGTTATCTCTGTAATGTTATTGGGACTATCGCCTTTTGTTACTAATATATGACTTAGTAATTTAAGTTTTATGTGTAAAGTACAAAATGATTTCTTTTAAATAAGCACTTTACATATAAAACTTAAATTACTTGAGAGAGTGTGGTTGTATATGTAGTTCTAAATTTGTAGATATATTACCCAGCTGGGGAGGTAAAGTCAGGCCTTTTTTATTATCATACAAACAGTGGACAGAAAAATGCAAAGCAACTTAGTCACTACCTTTCACAGTCTAGTCTGAGAGGGGATCTAGTGGCTGTTTACAAACTCACCAGGGGACACCAGTGGAAATTAGGTGAGGCACCACCGGGGTTTACTGGGAATAATGGCTACAAATTGTTAGAGAGAAGGTTCAGGCTGAACATCAGGAGCCATTACTTTACAGTTGGGGCTGCCAGGCTCTGGAATGGACTCCCAAGGTAGGTGGTACTCTTTCCTACCTTGGGGTCTTCAAGAGGAGGCTGGATAGATATTTGGCTGGGGTGTTATGACCCCAGCACTTGTTCCTGCCCCGGGCAGGGGGTCGGACCTGATAATCTGTTTAGGTCCCTTCTGACCCTAAGCACTATGAAACTAAGCTCTTGTCTCTGAGGCTTTCTATTGTTTTGTTCTTTTTACTTCTTTCAGGGCTTACCAGCCCTCTTCATCTATGACTTCCCTAGCTGACTCCTGCTACCTGCTGATGTCTTCTGCCTGTGGAGGTGTGCTCTCAGGGTATAAACAAATGTTGCCAAATGAAGTGGAATAGTTGTGCTGGGATGTGTCAGGGGCTGATCCTGAGGGACAACACTTGGGGTGTCTCTCTGAAAATGGGGGAACCCCAAGTTTTCCCACTAGCAGAGCTGTGCCTGGGGAATCCCTGGGCACTCCCTGTACTAGCAGGGAAACTCAGTTTTCCTGTTTGCAGAGATGTGCCCTAGTCTAGGCATGCATCTTTACAAACAAGGAAACCTCAGGTTTCCCCTTTTGTAGCAAAGCACGCCCAGGATATTCCATATGGGGCAACCTAGGCAGTGCCAAGGGAGTGCCTTCCTTGGGTGGCTGGAGAGCATGGGAAGCTCCAAGCTGCCTGCACTTTCCCATCTTAAAGCAAACAAGCATGTGCAGAATAGCAGCACAAATTGATACCACTTGTGTTGTGGCCACAGATTCTGAGGCACAGAATTGGCACAAGGGGCATGGATATCTGTTTGCCTGGCCTTTGTGCTGCCATAAAATGGTAAGCAAGTGTAAGTATATGACTTATATCTATAGCTCTTGGTTTTAAATGGCAGTAATGCATGCACTGACAAGTTACATTAGAATAGAAGAAAATATATTTTAACATGAGCTTACAAGATATTATTGTTAAGCGTAACACATCTAAATGGGATGAGGAAGAAAAAAGATCTTAAGGAATAGGCAGGTCCTATTGCTGTAGTGTATTCCTCAACAATAGTTGGAGAGACATATGTTGGATTAGCAAAGCGGGTATCAGAGAGAGAGAAAGAGGGACCATAAAATAGAGTAGAACTGTAATTCCTGCATGGTGGTCCATAGGTTCATTTATATCTCCTTTAGAGTGTTCTCAAATAAATGTTTGATTAAAGTGTATCATTTTCTGTGATAATTTTAAGAGTGGGTAGTGTTGGAAGTTTGGATGAAGTTTGTTGGAAGAGATGAAGTTTAAAACGACAGAGCAAGTTCTGAAAGGAAGAGGATTTTGGTGAGAGGGCAGAATTAAAGTGCCCTTTGCCTGTATGACAGGCCTTTTCAAAGATTAAGTGTATGCAGAAGGTGCCATACTAGACTGCTAGATGTCCTGTCGAAGGTTGAATAGATAGAAACATTTATGCCGGATCTAGAACATAATATTCAAAAAGGGGACACAGGGTAAGAAAAAAGGGGAACACTTCTGTACCTAGAGTACATGAATTTGCATAAGATTATACAAGCTCTTAGAAAGGTAGTCTTTGCCTATAAGTTTGATAGTTTGATGGCTGTTTTAGGATCATGAGAAAGTAGGGGTGTATAGGTCCTCATGAACTAGTCCATCCTCCTGCTTAAGGCAGAACCTTTCCTGACTAGATTATCCCAGTCAAGTGTCTGTCTAAGTTGCTCATGAAAATTGCCAAGGGTGGAGATTCTACAATATCTCTTAAGTAGCCTGTTTCATTGCTTAACTACTGGTTAGAGCGTTCTTCCCAATCTCCAACCTTAAATTACCTCTATAAATCCAAAACTGTACGAAGTGTGTTTTATTATTTAGTATAGTATAAAGTATTTTAGGAACAAAAATCAGCCATATTTTCTTCTGGCTTACGAGTTGTCTTTTAATGCTTTTGTAGTATTGTGCTTCTCTTGCATCATTTGCATGCCATATCAATTTTAACTTTAGAAATCATAATTTTAGTAATTTAAAAAGAATTTGTGTGAACATTTTTAGTAACCGTCTGTGAACTTGCTGAATAATTGGACCGTATTTCAACCCATCAGCTATACTGCCATTCATAGACTGCTCAAGCTATGGTCTTAAAGACCTCAGAAATTCTAGATTGAATTACAGCCTTATTTACTATACAAACTGGAACAGCTCTGTACCTTAGCATTGAATTTGTGAGTTTGGGCATGTTTTGCAATCGTTAAAATATTACTTAATATATCACAGTGTAGAATTGCTATTACAGTGGAGAAGGGAAAATTGTTTTGCAGTGCATTTCACAAACCTTTCATCAGTTATTGAAACTACATGCATGCACACATATATGTTACATGTTTAAAACAGTTGCTTTTATTAATATTTGCAATGACATTTTGGGGTGTGCAGGCATGTGAAAGGTATTTCCTCATGTTTTACAAACAGTCACCTCTGATTCAGTTTGTGATGCACCTCAACCTTGCCTTTTGTCACCTTAAATGGTAACGGTCATATGCTTCTTAGTACTGTATCTTTACTTTTTGATGCATTTTCTTTAGGTTGCTGGAAAATTATTTGTTTGCAGGTTTTTTTTTAAACGTAACAGGTCAGTATTCTGGAGCAGCCCTCAAAGAGTTGTATATAAATGATATTTCCCTGATTTTTCTGAATTTATAACCGCTAATTTTTAAATATTTTGTGCCCCTAGATTGTTAAGCCAAACTATGAAGGACCACTTAGTAAGAGTGGCAAATGAAGCAGAATTTATCTTGAGCAGACAGAGAGCAGAGGATATTCACAGGCATGCTGAATTTGAGGTAAGAAGTCAGAAATCTTGGAGAAAACGGTAGTTCTGGCAGATGCCAGTGCAACACACATGCTTTAGTAATTAAAGCTTCAGTACTGCAAGGCACTGAACACACCTGGGAGATGCAAGGTATCCTGAACTCAGGGCATGTCTACATGTCTTGGGGTGGTGCTCCCTGGCTAGGATAGTCCCAAACGTGTCCTGCCACCTACATCTGCAGTCATGCCTTAGACCTGGAAGTATGCCCTTGAGGAGCCTCTGGTCATTCCCAGTCACTGTTTTCAGGCATGTTGGATACTGGAATCTGCCCAGCAGGTACAGAAAGGTGCTGTAAGGCAACTTCATGGACATATTTCTAAGTCTGGGGTGTGCTTGTAGGAGTGGGTACATGGGGTGTGTTCAGTAGTGTCCCAGCTTGGACGTGCCAATGCTGTGGAGTAGATGTGCCCCCCGATGACTTCAGCAGAAGAATGGGGATGTGGGGGATTGCCTAGTACTTTGTAGAATCTACAAGAAAAAAAGGTTGGAGAGCAGGGGAGAAAGCCAACATGATTATAGCATTTACTATTAATGAAGCTTTGTGGCATTACAGCTATTTTACTAAAGTATCATATATCAAACTAAAACTCATATTCAAAATCCTTACTAGAGAGATCTTACCGCAGCTATTATATCAAAACAGAAATTGTCTAATTTTTACTATTATATGGCTTGTTTACTGTTTCACTTAATTTTGTCATAGTTAGTTTTTAATTTGTTTGATTATGTTTCACATGACACAACGCAGTTTTGTGAGGCTGGTATTTTCATGACTCCAGGGGAATTTTAAAATAAACGGTAGACATGTATTTTCACTGAACTATTAAAAAAATGAAATCTTATTGGTAACTCCTGTTTAACCAAGCCCACAATTTTGGGCATCAGCTGGTTAACAGAGTTCCTTTGTGTGGGTATGACCTTATTTGATTGTTTAAAATGAAGCTAGTGAAATCTCTTTGAATTCAGTGGTATTCTATTTTAAAGGGATTAAATCTTTCTTCTAATATGCTATATTGCTTGTGTTTTGTTTTTAAAATGAAATGTTTAGTGTATGAAGGCATGCTTGTGTTTTTAATGTATTTCTAAACTATTTTTCTCTTAAATCTTTACTTGAAAAAAATACAAAGATGAAAGCATATTTGTCTTAGACAGTGCTTATGTTTTAAAGGTCATCTGTGTTGGCCCCAGGATTCAAGCTGTGCGTTGTTTAATAACATATCTGCACTTCATCTAGAGCTAGTTACCCCCTCCTGCAAACAGAGATGTTGTAACATATCCAGAGTACCATTTTGTGGTGGTGAAATAGCAGGCATGTTTCATTTATTGCATCAAGGCATCAAGGGTTTGGCGACAGTCCTGTGGAGATGAAAAGTGCATCTTTTTAGTTCATTGCCTGATAATCATTGGAGTGGGACATGCTTGACATCTCATGTTCTGGATTTATGCAGAAGCTCTGTCCATGACATGGTATCATTGATTAGATGAACGGCTCACTTTTTTTCTTTTAGCTGTAAACTAAGAAAAAAATTGTGAAGCATTGGGCCTTGTCATGTAAATGTGGGATATGAATGGATACACTTCACCATTAACCTTATTTCATTCTCAGAACAGTTTTTTTGTGGTGTTTGGCAGGAACATACGCTGAACAAGAACTTCTTTTTATTATAGCTTTGTGTGTTGCTTATGCCTGAACTCTCTAGGATGGAAGCTGATTGACACTTCTTTAAGCAGATGCTGCTTTGAATCTCTATCTCAGTATGACAGCTCAAGGGGTTTAACTTGTGTCAGTTTGAACTTAAACAGATACTAGGTTACTGAAATAAGAAACGGTTCTGTTTTGTTTATCAAGTTTAGTTGTGTTGCTGTGTGTCTGCTGCAGGAAAGTGTTTGGAAAATCTAATTCTGTAGCATCATATTTGTTGATGTGTAAAAATAATGATATATAGCTCTTGGAACTTTTAAAACACTCAAATGCCAAATATGTTGTTTTAGAGATAAGTGACTTCTAGATAGACTGCAATGAATGTTGTGGCTTCTTTATGGAAGGGAGAATAATTAGCCTCTCTCATTAGAAACTTCCCCCCCTCCCCCAGTCTAGTCAGCGTTCAGAAATCTCTGCATGGCTTGTCAAATGTATGTCATGGTTTGATTTTCAAATGTTTTAATGTCTGGTTAACTTTGCTAGTGCTGTAGCAGATAGGAAAATGAAGGTGGGGGGACGGGGTGGTGAATCTAGTCTGCTACAGCACTGGCAAAGTAAACCAGATGCACACAGTTGAAATAAATCTTTTCTGCAGGCACATTGCTACTGCACTAACGAACTTTGCCACAACAGTCCTTAGCCTCTCCATTTCTGTGATATGTGTGTGAGAGAGAGAGAAATATTACTGTACATTTATAAATATCACTAATAGTTTATACATATATGTCTCAGAAATGAAAAGCTGAGATCTATTGTGCAAAGTGTGTTAGTCCAATAGCATTGTTTAGTCACATTGGTTGATTTCTTATGGTCACTTAGAGCCACAGCATTTAAGATTGGCAGTCTTTGTTCACACACACACAAAGCTGGGAAGAGAAGCTGGTTCGGGTTGGGTGTGACAGAGCTGTGGGGGGAGAAGGGCCAGTGTGGTGAGGAGATGCTGTAATTGGAGAGGAAGATCCCAATAATGTTGAGACATTTTAAAGAATTTGCTCTCCTTCCTTAAACTGTTTTATGTTTACAAACAATAAAAGGAATGTCTTTGTCTTATTCTTGGTGATGCTGTATAAAACTCTTTTAGAGCAACCTTTATTCAACAATAAACAGAAACAAACTTTATTCAAAGCCTTCTTCATTATCCTGAGTGTTATCCTGCCTGAAATTTTCTCCTTCCCAAAGCCAGGGTCTTGCAGTGTATCCAAAAGACCTATAGATCTGAGCTATTTTGAACTAGGATTATCTGCTAGTTAATAGAATTTTCTGTGGGAATATTATAGGAATCAGAAAATTTGATTTTTAGAAATGGAGGTTTCTCCTTTCTAAATGGAAGTCAAATGTCACCACTGAAAGACTTTGTTTCAGCCTGGTTTCTGGAGAATTTGGCTTCAGAAATAATAATAAAAAAAGACTGCTACAAAAAACTGATAATTGGATAGAATGTATGGTGGTTACTGGAGGAAGAGCAGAAACCACGTGAGGTAAAGTGAATGAAAGGCATGGGTACTGTACAAAGAGTAGGCATCACTTTGCTGAATGAGCGCACCTCAGAATTGGATATAGACAAGTATTTTTCACCTGATATCTCTATTTGCAGCATCCCAAGTACCTTAGAACAACGGGGACACTATTATGTTTCTTTCTGTATTGCAAGTATTCACAGGTTTTTTTTTTCTGGTGTGAGATGGCAACTAGATATCAGGAAGAAGAGTGGTGATGGGAATTAACAAATGACATGTTATCTACATGTGAATTCCAATATTTAGCCCAGAGGGGCAGGAGAAGCCAGCAGCCATTTCCTCTAACAGGGTTCATACCTTTTTGGCTCCTCTCCTGCATGGCTAAGAGAGAAAGAAAAGGCTTTCTTTGACTAGGTATGGACAACAATGGCCATCCTTTTTATTATGCTTTTTCTGAACTCTTCTCTTTTCCCAATCATATTTTATTATTTTTTGAGGAAGCAATGGTTGATATACATAACGGATTCATGGAAGAAATGGATATATGCTCTGTGTCCTCAGATGTGCTTTAGGAAGCAATACCATACTCATTTTACAGATGAGATACTATAAAACAGCAACCATAATTACCTAGGATTATAGAGTGAGGATGGAAGTATTCATATCAACAATAACAATCAGGACCAGAAGGTCCACTGAATATTGGTGGGACCTGTGCATACAAGTCACTTCAACAGTTTCAAAATTTCTCCCGAGTTAGAGCTGGGAATTCTGCTCGGGTGCCTTGCTGCTTACTTTTGTGCCCTGCCTACTAGTTACACATGTGCATCTAGTCCTCCTCATATAAATTACCTTGAAAATCTGGTTTTGTGCTGTCTCAGAACATCTATTTGTGCAGGCTGCTGCAGAGTTGACTTTTTGATGGTAATTGGATTTGGTGTTGTGGGGAGTTTGTATTTTGTTTAATTTGTTTTGTTTTGTAATTTATGGCAGCTGTACCAAAAGTCTTGGGTAGGCACCACGGGTTATTTTTGTGTAAATCTAAATATGTATCCAAGGGCTATAAACAATTCAAGCCCCAAGGCACCTTCAATTTCTCTCTTCAGTATCAGCTGAGATAAATATTGAATAACCCGACTTGGTTTTGATCAGATTCCATGCCGCCATATCTCCACTCAATGGGCAGAATAAAATATTTTAAGCAGTCCTTCCTTCCTGACAATAGCTCTTTCTTGGCTTTAAGGTACACAAGTATGAAACCTGGGAATGAGAAGAAGCCTCTTCTTTATAAAGAACTTCATACAGCACTTCTTTATGAAGTAGTGGATCCTCCTTTTTCTTCTCCCTTTCCTACCCTTTGTATTCTAATCATTGCTTTCTATTTAGCAACTCTGCTTCCTGCAGTCCCTTCACAGCATCTGATGAAATAAGCCCTTTGCTTAAGAAAGCTTATTCTATACGTTGCTAATTTAGTTTGCCCAGAAAGGGGCATATCTACCCTGCTGTCTGCCTGACATCAAACTAGCATAGCTAACTGCCTCTGACTATTTTATGAAACCATGCACAATATTGCCAAGAAATGTTTCTAAATTCTAAGGAGTGTAGTGTAGTATGAAGAATATGCAATAGTAGCAGTAAACAGGAATCTGTTGTTTTTATTTAGTCAGTCTGAAAAGTAGCGACTGCCTTTGACTGCCCAGTCATTTTGATAGTCCTACAAACCACTGTTCTTTAAAATAAATCAAATAGTTGACTATCTTCGTGGATTTAAGTATCTTATTAAAATAGAGTGGCATTGAAATTATTTTATTG